ATGCTAAAATCTGAAGTAGACCAGAGAAACATACACCCAAATTAAATTTACACCAAAATTATTAATTAACATTACTTTTATTAATTTAAACAATGAGATTAAGTAAAAGTCACATAACTGACAATTTACACAGATGAATTATCAGAGCGAATTTTCATATATTGTATTATCCTACTATTGTTACACAATTTATTAACATATTATTTTTTAGGTTCATTTAGGTTCTTTTGATAACGATAGCAGAAAATAGCTATCGAAACGTCAAGATAATTTTTCAAATTAATTTCTCTACTAATTGGAATTTTCTCTTACAGCTTGAGCCTAAGTGTGTCGCAGGATACCCTCTAGGTGATAGTTCTTGATTATTTTTTGATAAATAATTCGTTCTTATTGCGAAATAGAAGCAATCTGTAATAAAAGACATGAGGAAATTCTGTCTTTTTTAAAGACAAAAATTTTTGAGGCGAAATACCCAAAAAGAAGTTTGTAACAAAATGAATCCGCCTCAACAATATAGAACTTGTCTACAAATGTATCTGGTTTAATTATAATTAAAACACCCAATCAATAGAAACAATGGTCACTTAGATATTCTTGGATATTCTTGATAATTTGGTACATGCGACTCTTTTAGAGCTAAAGCCTGTGTGTCCCATGTATCCGTTTATACGATGGTACGATGATGAAGTGTTTCATTTGCTGTTGCATGGGCCACAGGCTGAAGTCCCTGTTTTCACTTTCGGATTTATACTGAAGAAGTTTTTTCTTTCAGAGCATTATGATCGGGATCACTGGCGGAATGGTGACTTGCATCGGAGCGCTATCACGCAAAAGACAGGAAACACTTCTCTTCTTAGCTGCCTCCATTCTTGCTGTTAACATTATCGCCGTTTTACTCACCGAGTGGAAGTTGTACTTCCTCGACATGCCAAAGCTGCTTAGTACTTACACCAACCATATGCTTATAGACTGTGGTAAGTGTTGGCATTCGCCGTTTTGTCGACTTGCTCGCTTACAGTCTACCTTTGTGGGTATTWAAAAAAAATCCTCACAAAGTTGGATACTTGCGATCAAACATGAGTAAGAGTGAAAGAAATTGCACAAAACATGCAATTGGGTGGGCAGGATTGTGGAGGATTAAATCATTAATTAATTAGTCGTTAAATACTCCACATCCACGTTGATTTCCTCACACTTAGCCATAAATGGATGAGTTAAGGAAACATTTTCCAACCGCCTCCCATAGGCGATGTGCTAATATTCACTCTAACGAAAAAACAAACGTGTATTATTCAATCAAATGTTTAAAGGTCGCATGAAAAATCGTATTCGAACAGGTTGGCCGAGTGAACATTTACCAGTTTTGTTATGATGCGCGGTTGGTTCGTGACAAGATGTAGTAACTTAATGAAAATTCAAAGTGGAAGAGCGAAAAGTGCATATTTCTCAACTAAGTGCTTGTTAGTTGTCCAGTTAATAAACCGTCCCGCAGGTTTCGTTTTTCTCGTCCATATTTATATTGAACTTCGTGTGATTTAATGGGCGCATTTATTCTAATTAGCTGATCACCTGCTCAAAGTACGCATCAGATTGCTGATTCGCGAACATTTCATTAAATTTCAGCTCTATTCGTCGTGAGAATTTCCATATCAACGGTAATAGTGGTTGCTTTTCTGGACAGCCAATTCGCCTACTGTTCGGCCCAATCGCTTCCGAAACGAAGAAGGCGCATCTTCAAGCGGGCCAATCATTCACCAGATTCTGTCCCGGATATCGAATACATCATTCCTAGGGTAAGTGTTTTATTGCGATTTTCTCAGCAACTACCCATAAATAGATCGAACTCTACGTACCGATTGTTTACAACCTTCCAAACTCGACAAGAAACGGCGAAAAATTGCAAGCGTTCGGGAAAACAGCTCTAACTACCCGACCAGATGCAGAATCCTTTTGCAATTTTTAGAGCGCATTTAGACAGCTTCAAAAATATATTCGAGGGCAAAAATCAATCGAATCAGTCAAGAGTTCATGCAAAGCATGGGAAAAAATTGTAGCTCCCAAACCATAAACCCAAAATCAACAGAAAAATCAACCGGTTTCCTGGACATGCAGATTTTTAAATCCTTCCAACTCCAGTCTGAGAAACAAGCTCCTGATAACCTCTGGAAAAATTTTGCTCATTTCCAAACCAGACAGCGCAAAGATAAGGCATCGAGGCCCGTTCAGGAGAAAAACCACCCAAATCCGTCAAACCTGCCGATTTTCCAAAATTTTCCAAACTCGAAAACCGAAAAAGCAGCGTTTTCAAACCTTCCAAACCGATAGTTCTTTAACAT